GGGGGGGGGGGGGGGGGGGTTCAGCCGTGTATTGTGTGCCTTAAGATAAGCCCTCCTCACATCCACATCAGAGCTGTGAAAGACGCGCAAACGTTGGCGGTCGGCTAAGCCCATAGACCGAGCGTTTGCACGGGTGATGTACATCCACGACTACCATAATCGCACTACCGCAATCACCATCCTACGCGGTGGGTCTAACCCAGGATGATGCTGCCGGCAATAAAACGGGGGGGGCACTACACTCGGCCGCGAAGTACGCTTGACGGACATGCTCCCAAACTCCCGGCGGTCCTGCTTCATTTGCGGACTATATTCTTGGCTATGCCCTGCGCCCGAAAGAGTGCGAAACGCCGAAAGACAAGAAAAAAACAAGGCGGGAAAAAAATAATAGAGGACGGTCGGCGGGCCAATAAATATTCGCACCTGGCACCAGACCTCGCAGAACTGGTCCCCTCGCCGCAGCGCGGACAGGTGCTTCAGGAAAGACTTGAGCATCAGCAGCAGCGCCAATAGTGCCAGGCTCGAGACCTGCCGCGACCCGACGTCGTCGTCGCCGTCGTCATCTTCGTCGTCGCTACCGCAAGCAGAACTCTCTCCGCCCCCGTCGCCGCCTCCCCGCCCCCCGGTAGACTCGCGGTAGAGCTCCGGCGGTGCCCATGACGCGTCCGCTGCACCGCCACCGTGGGCAGGCGGCGTCGCGTGTCCGCCCTCGTCGGGAGCCTCCACCATCTCGAAACCGTCATCTTCTTGGGCAGCCTCTGCCCCCGCAGCCGTTCCGCCAACAGCACTACCGGGATGCCGCTGGACGGCACTTTCTCTTCTCCCTTGAGACGGCGGCGGCGGCAGGTGCCGGTTGTGGTGGTCGAGCGGGGGGGGCTGCGGAAGCGGTTTTTGTTGTTGTTGTTGTTGTTGTTGTTGCTGTTGTTGTTGTTGCTGTTGTTGTTTTCGCCGGGGCGATGTGCCCCCGCGCGCGGCCGTGTCCCGAGCTACGCGGCGCCAGGCGTGCCTCGCCAGGGGGAGGACGACGGAAAGCATGGCGTCTTGCAAGACATCGGGGGGCGCTTCCGCGGCAAGATCGTCCAGCATCACCTGGCATGACCAACATGATTCGGCGCGGGGGGGGGGGAGATCCCGAGGAGAATACACCACCACGTTAGTAGGTCTTCTGCGTCGTGATAATTGCGACGGGAAGATTTCGTCCAGCCGGCACTGGTGTCACCTCGGGGTTGCGGGTGATACAGGCGATGACCTGCGGTGCCGTGGCTGGAAAAAAAACAAGCGAAATCCAACCCCAGCTCGATTGTTGCAGGAGACACTTACTGTCGAGCATATGTATAGACCCTTTTTCCCTGTATCGGTTGAGGGGACACCTTGCCGGACTCATGGATCTCGACCGTTGGAATCAAGCCTTGTGTTTATTGCGACAACACGTTTCGCTTATTGAAACACAACGTTGGTTTCGGGAATATGCCATCATCCCACAAATCTACTTCGAGAACAAAACCGCTTTCCAACGGAGGGAAAGAGTCAGGGGAGCCAGTTTTCCTGTACAAACCGCAGCTCTTTTGTCATCAAGTACCCCCTCTCCGCCACACATGTCACGGCACCGAACAGGCAGAGTGACTGCGCAACTTAGTGGCTGGTTCAGCGCATTCCATGACAAGAATGCATCTGCTGGTTGTCACAGAGCAGGGCATTCCTGTAGAAAAATGAGTTCAACAGAATAGATGCTCGTCGACTCGACACACCTTCGTAAGGAGCTGCAGCGCGTGTGACGCAACCATTAAGTCCTCGCTGCCCGCGCCCAGGGAAAGCGCCCTCAGTATCATCATCCAAGCGTCCGTGGCGACCAAGCCTGGCGCGGCGCCTTGCGGCCGACGGCAGCCACCGTCGCAACGCGCACCACGATCAGCTCTCGCCGTTGCCGCCCCCCCCGCCGAGGAACTCCGTCCGCAGGAGGCCGCAGCAGTAGAACGTTCTTCTTGCACGGCTTCAAATGCCGCCGACGTCGCCGTTGGTTTCGATAGCGCGACGGGACTGTTAGCCGCGGCCGCACGCGGGCTGCTGCTGCTGCTTCTGCTGCTGCTGCTGCTGCTGCTGCCGCCGCCGGTGGAGGAGGTGGTGGTTTTGAAGGAGGACGGTAGCCTAGCGTGAAGGACCATGAGGAGGTCTAAGGCCGCCCCGGCGAACATCCGAGCGTGCTTGTCGGTGCCGCTGGCGCTGGCGCTGGCACTGCTGGTGTCGTCTTTGTCCGTGGACTGTCGCCGACCGCCGAGGATCAAGGCGGACAAACAAGCCGCGACGCCTTGCACGGGCAGGATTTCCTGAAGGATAGAAGGCCGTGTGGTATGTATGACGGTGGGGAGTAGGTTCGACGCTAAGACAGTGGCTTGGTCGTGGTTGGCGAAGCTGCCTTGCCAATGGTGAAAAAGTGCCTCGTCATCACCCCCGGGATCAACCGGATTCGTTTCGCCATTTAGCTCTTAGGACGATATGTATCATGGTTGTCTCTACGGTTCAGCAGCCGTGTCTCTTGGGTGAGTGGGCGCAACAAAAACGCAATCTTGCGGAGTCTGCCACTCCGTGTATGGGGAAAAGGCAGCAGGAATGGTACTGACGGTCGACGGGCCGGAGCTCCCAGATGTGCTATCCGCGAAAGGCACGGCCAAGCGGCCAAACGCCGTTCGGCTTGTCACATCGTGTGTGTACCCGTATAGCTGGTCAAGCACGCCCGCCCTAATCCCCGCGCATGCCACCCCCCGCACTATTCCCTGCTGGAATCACCGACCTCGTTGTCACGAGTTGAGCACTCTGCCTCCTCACTTCTCCTCCTTGTACACCACCCCACGACAAAAAACACGGTAAACACTTAAGAAAAAACACTTGAAAAAAAAAACGTTACTGGCAACCTAACCTTCCCCCCGTGCCCCCCCCCCCCCCCCCCCCCC